ATGTATATGTGTACCATGAGAAGCATTGCAGAGGTGAATTGTATGTGTGAGGATTTGCCAATTTAGTGATATCCCTGCAGTTGTGGTCTTGGTCAGTTTTGAAATAAAATTCTTTGTCTGGGACTGAGACAGGACCGAGACAAAATGCGAGATGAGACCTTCAAAAGGGTGGTCTCGAGACCAAGACCAATCTGGATTGCTACAACACCGCAGTCAGTTATCAGTCAGTTTCTAATGTACTGGCTTGATTGGCAGGTCTCTTCAACGGAATAAAATGGCCAAACAATGCTGATATTAATATGCCACCGAGATACAAAAGCAGTTTTTGACTGAAACCCTGTGGCGCTTTCACTGGATTTAGTAACTTTGTAACGATTAAACACTGAGGTACAACATACTGGACACACACACATTAACTTGTGAGGATTTTTGCCTTTGTGTGGTTCAACATAACTGTTGCCAGGAAATTGACAACAAAAACCTATCAGAATTATTTTGTGCTTTCTCCATTTATATGAAAACAGGAATCGAGGCGATAGGAGACTAACTTCCATGAACATGTTATTGAAAGGTGTCGTTATAGTGCCACCCTCAGGCCGGTCATTGCCACTCTTTAGAGAAAATGCAAAGGTGGTCCCTTCCATTCAAGTTAGGTCAAGTCAAATACTCTATATTAGTAAAATCATGACAGATTTCTATCTCTGTCTCTCCCATTTCCATTTAATTTCATCATCAACCTATCCAGGTGAACTTTTTCTTTCTCCTGAACATCGTCCGGGTTCTCATCACCAAGTTGAAAGAGACCCACTGCGCCGAGTCCACAGCCTACATGAAGGCGGTGAGAGCCACCCTCATCCTCATCCCTCTGCTGGGAGTCCAGTTCATCATTTTCCCCTGGAGGCCGGAGGGACGCATCAGCCGGGCCGTCTATGATTTCTTCGTACACATCTTCTCCCACTTCCAGGTATAGTCATCAATAAGCTGCACGTTAAGGGTTCCAACAGAAGGCTGATGCTGCTGCTCGCCACAGAGGATGAATTCAAGTGAACCAATTCTACATTAATGATTTTCAAGTTTTTCCACGTGAACACATCTCAATTACATTTTTACATCTTCTGTTCCAAACACATTTGGTGTTTTGGCATGAAGGATTTGTATTGAAAGCCATTCAACTCCATTTTCACTTTCATTTAGCAACAACATCAAATTAAAGAGCTATTTTCCGTGCTTTTCGCATAAAACACGAGGATTCATTTACATTTATTATTTACAGGATAATCTCACTGTGACATCTGTTCCCGTATGAATATTTAATCAATGTCCTGTTGCTTTGCAGGGACTCCTGGTGGCAATTATATTCTGTTTCTGCAATGCTGAGGTACATGCAAACTATCATATTTTATGCATCAGAGGTATTTTAAACTCCGTTGGTATGACTCCAGATAATGTAAACTGTTGTGTTATATACTATACAAAGATTCTGCATAGAGATGCTGTGATAAACCACACCCACGGGGGGAAACAATCAGCCCCACAATATGCAACCAAAGGCTAACAAAATGCCTGTAGCTAGCTAAAAAACATCAGTCTCAGCATGCCAAATGGTTATTTTAGCACCCTATGTTTACCAGGGGTAAAGTCCATAACTAAAATGATGAATATACCTCATATGACAAACTTTTTTTTCTTTAAATTATGACGCTACTGTTAGCTGAGACCCTTGCAAACTGATGTATCCACATCCACACTATGACACAAGTTGCATACCGTCAAAATAGCTTCAAACTGACCTTTAGACAAAATGCTTGCTGGACACCTAACGTTAGGCATACCGAGCGTTTCCCCATTCTTCCTGCTGATGCCTTGTGTACTTATTGCACGTTTCCTCATTTTCTTTTTAGTTCGGCAGCTTATAAAGACTTAGTTCTGGGTTCTTGATGAATTGCTGTCCCCTCTGGTGTGGTCGGAACTTAATTTTGCCTTGTCTCTAAGTAACCTCAAGCTATGTCGAACTAGACTAAACTTAAACTCTGTTGACGTCCCAGGCCCAGACAGCGCTGCGGAGGAAGTGGGCCCAGTACGCCTGGGGTAAAACCGGCTGGGGGGAAACACCCACCTCCAACAACCACTTCAACTACCATAACAACTCCTCCATTACCGAAACCAGCCGAGCCACCAGCTGCTCGGAGGGGCCTGCAGTCGTGCCCTCCGAACCAAAAGAAAGCAGCCACTTCCTGTCCCAGGAGAGAGCCAACGGGCAGCAGAAGGAGTGCAGCAACGGCGAAGTGGACATGCTCAACAAGATGGAGACCACCGACATTTGACCGGGAGGAAAACGTAGAGGTGACGGTTGTTGTGCCAAAACAACACACACACAAACACACACTCGCTTATATGTGCACACAGAAAGACAGAAAAACAAACAAAAAAACCCAGATAGGCCGGGTGAATTTTCAAAATAAAGGGTAACTGATTGGGCACTTGTGAACTAAAAGCTCCAGTTTCTGGACTCTGTATGAACTGATGAGAAAAAGATAACTTATATGATGGTGTCATCCTGTAATCCTAGTCTAATAATGTTTTTTGCATACATGTGTTCTGTCGCTGGAATAAAGTCCACTTATGTATTTTTCCATTTTGATACATCAAATGCAGAGCTGTTTGTGTAATCTGTTGTCTTATGAAGCCTCGGAATGCTTCACCCCGTACACCACTGTGACATGATGAATGTCATAGCCCAGTGTTTTCTATATGTTCTTTTACATGCTTTTATCTTGAAAAGATAGTGTTATCATCGCTGACCTTCAAAAAAAAGCCAGCATCCCCCTTTTAACATTTCCCCCTGGGGATGAATAAAGTACATATCTGTCTATCTATCTATCTAACCTGCCTGTCAGAAAACAAAAACCACCAAACTGAAGACAAGTAATGTTGTGTAAACAGGGTGAAACGACAAAAGCGACACAGTCATGAGGATTTTAATTTCCCCACAACAAGTAACAGAAATAGGATATAATTTCAGTCTGAGAAAGTGTACAATGGCCCAAAACGTTTTAGACATAGGCTACTTCATTTTGTAGAGCATATCGGACTTATCTGCCCGAAAGTCAAAACACAGTAAATACCAGAATCTGACTTTTTGACTTGTGTTTTAACATAAACATGTTTTATACTATCTAGAAATGTATTATTTCTGCTAAAACAGGGTGTAAAAACTTCGCTAAAACCCAAACTGTAGTTAGACACCAGAAGTCGTCGTAACAAAAAGACAGCCAACATGCTAGCCACAGCTAGCATTAGCTAAGACTAAAACTAAATCTATTTTCTGACTTTTCCAGTCAGTGCAGAGAAAAAAAAATGAACGCTAACGTAAACCCAGCAAAAGTCATGTTAATGGTTGCCTTCCCAGTACAGCAGAGTAGCATTAGCTATCATGTCACATTTCAATTTTGGTAAAACTAGCTCTTGGCATGGAAATGGTCAGAAGAAACGCCGTATCCCAACATTATCACTGTAAAATAAGTTTCCTCGAGTTGATGGTCACTCACTATGTGTGCTAACACAAATCTTCTTTTTCGGTTGCCAAAATGACGAATTTATGTTTATGGCAAATAAACAAATTCAAAAACAGACCTCATTTGAACATGGAATGTACTATGTTGAAAGGGCTTCTGACATTGAGCTTAAGATAGTGGCAATCTGTACCTAACTATGAAATCTCACCATAGTAGGACATTCTGGCTACATGACAGCTAAACACGTATGTAAAGTAGTGGGAAGATAATTTTGAGGCTCAGCTGATTCAAACTGATTTACTTCCTGGAACTAAATGATGTGCCGAATACTATGGGTCACAACTATCCTAATTTAACCCGGGAGCAGAGCTTTTAGGGCTGGAGAATCACTGGTGCAGATAATGGTAATGGAGCTGTGGAGTGCTGCAGTAATCTCAGTCACTCTCCTCACTTACTCCATTGAAAACAAACACAGGGTTTTGGGGGGTTTTTGGCAAAAGGTGGCACACATACAGCAGACATACAGACACTTTGTTGTGTGAAATAATGTATATGGGGGAGCGTGTGCACATGTGATTTTAGCAAATAGACCCTCCAACTTTGTTACAATTGGTGTAGAAAGAAATGTTACTTATTTAATATCCCACAATCTTCACTTTCTATTATGACATTTATTGTAATACGATGGGAAATCTTAATGTGATATAAAGCTTTTATACCCAGAACATTTAGGATGAAAACAAAGATGAGACACGTTTCTGTCTTAGATATAGACTTTGCAGACGGAACAAGACTATGCCAAATTTTTATATAAATGTTTTTCCATCTTTTATTAAACGCACTTCCGTCTGCACGAGAATGAGACTATTTAAAAGATTTTTCATGTCTTTATTATTATAGTGTTCCTGTTGCTTTGTAATGTTCTGTGTTATTATTGTGACTATTAAAAAGGTCGGTTTCACCATTTGTAATGGAATGTAATATTGTTACAATATTTTGTTTGCAAATACAATTCCCTGCCACTTCACATTTAATTTAATAGTTTTTCCATTGCTTGTGTACCGTGCTGTATGTACACTGGCAGGCTGACAGTACCAGCACCTTTTTCAGTTTCCACCGGAATACTGAGCAAGTCTAATGTTTGAAAGTGAGCTTGCAGCAAATGCATTTTGGTATTCTTCCAGGAGGCATCCACACAACATACTGGGAATACAAATGTCCCAGTGTGGATACACTGGGACATTCTTCAGGCTACACAACTGAAGAATGTCGGATCTCTGCACAGGGACGCCACCCTGTACCCGTTTGCCAATGCTGCCCTGTCGAGAAAACGCCTGTCTTAGACATATTTATAAAGAAATTTGAAAAACATTCCAATAAAACGTTAAAAGAAAAGTTCAATTCAAGCATACTATTGTATATACATTTATAACACTGCCATTTATGTGTGGAAATAAAGTGGTTTGAACATAAACATGTGGTATTCAGTGAGATGTATTTCTGGGTGTGATTATTTAATCTGTGCCACAGTCTGGTTTTTCAGGTTGATATATTCATACGAGCAACATGTAAGGAAAATAGTATGGCATGGTGTGCAGTGTCCACAGTGCTGCTTTGTGTTACAGATGTGGCTGCTGTTTCGACAAACAGCTGCAGTCTATTGACTTTTGCTTTACACGTTAACGTGCACAATTGTGTAATATGTTGTTGATATCATTTAAAAGAACGAGGTCCCACCGAGATTTGAACTCGGATCGCTGGATTCAAAGTCCAGAGTGCTAACCATTACACCATGGGACCAGATGGTACAGGCGCCATGGCTCGTCAGAAGTGTCTTATATCAGCGCTTCTCTGTGGAACATTGCTGTTACTTACACAATAACTTACACGCCGTACACCTGGTTAAGCTCTTAAATTGAGCTGGGATACAACATCGCAGCTGTAAATTTGACATTGACATTCGCTGACGTTAGCTTAGCTCATTAGCCAATATGTGAATGCTAACGTAAGGTTCTCTTTATACGTCCATGGTTAGTCCCACTGCCGCGCGGTGCGTTATCTGTTCAGAGAAGCGGAAATCTTCTTATCTTATTCAACGCATAACGCTAAGATAAAGAAGGTTAAATAGGTAATGTCCAGGTCATGTGGCCGTTAATGTATCCAAAACTTTAAATGTAAGTAAAGAGTGTAATAGCACGTCGGGATGCGTCACTCTCCCTTAACTTGCGTTTCGGTAGCAAACGCCGCTGACGTTGGGGAGAGCATTTCTTACTGCACATGTATTTCAAAACGTTAAACGTAATTAATGAAAATAAAAAAAGAGTTTGGGTAAAGCACCTTAACGATAGATAGTTGTAAGACCTCTGACAGAGTGGAGTTTACTCACTTATCTCTAATATTGGATGCAAATGTTAGTTACACAGTAGTAAGCACTGATGTTTTGGAACCATGTCTCTACCTTTTTTGCTGCCGGTAACGAGTTCAAAATTTCATAAATAAAAAGCCCAATACATGTATAGTTTTTTTTGTATGCTTCACACAGCATATTAGTTTGTATGGAAGCCCATTTCCACCACTGTGATGAAAAAATAAAGATCCTGTAAGTCATTATTTTGAGAATGTTTGTCATTGTAATGACTTACAGGATTATTTTTTTTCAGCCATCCATATAGGCTGTAATGGGGTGTGAGCTATCTCGATACCTTTTGTATCTTTGGTTCTAGCCACATGGAGTTGTAGTAACTAAAATGCCACGTGGGGGCAGCAGATGATCTATCTATCTATCCATCCATCTATCCATCCATCCATCCATCCATCCATCCATCCATCTATCTATCCATTATTTGAACAAAACCACGCTTTCTATCAGGATTGTGATGAAGTTGTTGTCATGTTTTCTGGCCGGCTGTGATGGATGATAAATTAACACATCCAATTTCCACTGCTCTTATTTCTACTGCTCAGCCTCTCTCTCTCTCTCTCTCTCTCTCTCTCTCTCTCTCTCTCTATGGCTGCAAGCCTGGCCCATACATCTCCATCCATCCGTAGCTCAACAGAGAGGTGCTGTGAGGATACGTTAACCTGATGTCCCAGAGCTTAGTCTATACCAGCAGTAACAGCTTAATGCACACACACACACACACACACACACACACACACACACACACACACAAACACTCATCCCTATACCACACACGAGGGATCGTTGGTAAATCAATTTGGTGCTGGACCTTGGCAACAGAAATGTGACTGAAATCAATCCAGTGTTATGTAAGACTGTCTGATTGTATATTGTGTCGAACCATCGTGTTCATAATTTCACACATTTTTACCTTTAAAAATAAAATCACTACAATTCTATATTGTGAGAGTGTTTCAGACGTAATAATGAAAGGCCAGAAGGAACGGAATGAAAAATGAATTGTTTTCCTACTAAAACAATGAAATTCCTGTTGCTTGTTTCCTTGATAGGTGGTATGAAGAATCTAAAAGGGGAAAAAAAGGGTGAGTACAAGTGTGGATATACCACATAGATAGACACAATACACGCTGTGCAGGCGTAGTCACAGCGAGATTAAATGGATTTCATTTTGATAGATGTACTTCTGCTGCCGTGACACTGTGTGGATCAATACATTTGATGTTATCTTATCCCTTGCTCGATGAGGTGGTTACGCATTTCAATATTTAGCTCCAGATCACTGGCACAAGGGGTTTCCAAACAAAAGGTCACTGGGTCACTGGGAGTCAGCAGATTGCCCTTTGGTCCAGCTTAAGATGTTCTTTACTCAAATCAGGTAACAAATTAGTGTGAGATAAGAGAAAATAGATCCTCTCACCCTGAGGAGACTCAAATCAGTTCCAAGTGAGCCAGATTAGCTTTTTTTTGGCTTGAAAAATAACGTTATTAACATCTATAAATTTGAACACCAGATTCATGTACCGGTAGATTAGATAACATGACACATTTCTGTGGTATTAAATACTGTATAAAGAAGCGCAATTGAAAATCCAAAACATCAGAACATATTTGGTAAAAGTGTATAAATTAATACATTTTTGTTATAAAAAATACATTTAAAAAAGCAGCATTTTAGGAACATTTAGGAACTTCCAGAGCTAGACATTTAGTACAAGAAAGTCATCGAGTGCATTCTTATAGAAACAGATGCCAGTCCTTTTTTCAACTCTTTTAAATCATAGAGCGGAACATTAAGGTAATAATGTTCGGCCCGACCGCTTTAGCTGGAGACAATCACAGTGAAAGGGGAGGCGAAGAGAGAGGCAACAAAAGGCATGTGATTTTAAGCAATTATGCACATTAGATCAATCTGTAAACAGTTTTTAATGCTCGTATTATGTGAATCATTTCACTACATTCTCTTCTTAACACATTTCGCCGAAATGGATTATAAAGGTTAAGATATTTCACCTACTTCGGTTGTCTTAATTGGAGGTGATTTAAACTAGCTGCTTTGTGTCAGTGAATATCCAGTAATAATTCATCAAAATTAGCATAAAACAATAAATAAAAAAAAAATAATGCGCTATCGCTTTGATATTGTTTTTTTCCATTTGTTATTGGTTGGAATATTCATTTTGGAAGGGGACACAGAGTGTAACGAGTGAAATTGTAGCTTTAGCTTGTTTTATTGACTCCTCCAGTCTTTTTTATCAGCTTACACTTTTCTCCGATATAAATGAACGAAGAAAGCATCAGTGGCGTGCACAGAGGGTCGGGGGGGACATTAAAAAAAAGGGAGTCCGCTGCTGCACACAGGGTTAGGGTAAAGGTTTTAGATAAAGGTTTCATCTTATGCCAAAGTTACAACTGGGTGGCACAAGCTGACCTCAGGAGCACGATGGAAAGGTTACAAAAATGTCACTTAGAACAAAAAGGACAGACACATAGCCGAACATGTTACACGTGTAGAGGCAGAGTACATTGAAAAATGTAGGCCTCATCTGAACGTGAAATATTTTTGGAGATTACCTTAAATAACCCCCATTTGTGTGTCCAGGTGCGCTTGACACATTTTCTTCCAACCATTACGTAACAGTGCAGCCTCTCTCACGATGACAACACGCTCTTCTGTGTTACAAGTGCGATAGTCGTAGCCGTCGTGCGTTTTATCCACCACCAACAAGAGGCACATGAACAAGAATGTGTTTATAAAATCAGCTGTCATCAAATGTTTTGTCTTTTGTCAACAGAGTTGGTTGTTGGCTTTTAGCCAAGCTCTGGAGATGGCAATGTCAGTTGGGCCGGATCACTTCTCTTTGGTCTAGATTGAAACAACTATTGCACAGACATTTTGCACAGACATTCTTAGTCCCCAGAAGATGTAGCATATTGCCTTTGGAGATCCCCTGATTTTGTTTCTCTAGAGCCAGATAGACATTTGAGGTTTTAAGTGAAACCTCAGGAGATATTGTAAAAACTTCAGTGATCCCGTAACTTTCCATTTAGCGCCACCATCATGTCAAAGTTTTAATTTGTCCAATACTTTAGATTTTAATACCTGCAAAACGTATGACATTCCCTCCATCGTCAGCCATACTTTGTGTTATAGTGCTAATTAGCTAATGCTACCATGCTAACATGCTAGGTTAAGATAACTTGTAAAACATCAACATGCTAGCATTGTCGTTGTGAGCATGTTAGCTAGCTTAGTTTAGTTAGCATTTAGCTATTTTTTCATGTTTATATTTCACATCCTCAGTATCTTCTCTTAGTTTTGGCAATTTAAATGTCCTTGACTAATACATTATGTCACAGTTGCCATCGAAATTACCAAAATACGACAAAAACCTTGTCAAATAACCAAATCTATTAACCTCGTGCGGTTTTCAAAAGGCCAACTAATCTGTTTGATCTGAATCACCCAATGCATTCTTGAATGAGTTCTATCCCTTCTTACTACACTGTGAATATAAATATATTCATATATAAACATATACAAACATATCAAGCCTAAAGAATCATTCCCTGGCTGTGTGGTGAACCCGTGTTTTTTAAGAGCACCCCCAATGTACCACGCATGTTATTGGTGTCTTCTTCTCTGCACACAGTTGGCTAGCTGTCACCTGTGGATCCTGCAGGCTCACTTCAACCTGGCAGAATGCAGGGATAGTGTTCATGAAACGAGCACAGCCCCAGATTAGCACCTTTGGACCCCCCTGCCCCCTTTCTCAGCCTCGCTCTCGTAAGCTCCCTTGACCTCATTTTGACACCTCTCTCACACTCTCTTATTCTAGTGTGGCAGGATGTGGTCTCAAAAATTCTGGCATTGACACACCACCGTTTTTCTCATTTCCTCTCATTCTCATGCTTTCTTCGTGACGAAAATCCTGTACATATGTCTTGATATACAGTGTATGAGCACCGCCTCGGTTCCCCCTCCGTGGTGACTGGCCTTTTTTCTCCAGATCTCCTCCTCCTCCTCCTCGGTCTTTGTTCCCGCCATCATCTCGCTC